TCTTTATCTAGACCTCTATAAATGTCCTTTGCCTCCCAGCTCTTTCCTCTATTTCCCTTGATTCAGAGATTCAAATTTTAAGATAACATTAAACCACTGTAATTTAGGTGACTATGAGGGAGCTTTAAAACGTTTACATAAAAATGGAATTAAACGTTTGCAGAAAAATGGAATATTTCCACAGATTTTTTGAAGCCCCCTCATATTTCCTGAAATTTTAATATAGATATTTTTCATGTCTTTTAAGTGCTATAGATATGTGTGTGCTTTATTAAAAGAATAATTATTTTTTATTTCACTCCCCTCAGCCCTGTAAACTCAACCATCTCCCTTTAGGACTGTGGATTGCTGCTTTTGAGGATACATGAGTGATGCCTTAATATTACTTCTAATTCTATGGTAAACCTCTGCCACCCTTTTCTAGCCTGCCTCATGTGTAATTCATCTGTGTGTATTTTATTTTAATTAGCTTTTCAGACTTGTTTTGCACTCATTGGTGAAAAGGGCGTGACATGGGATGCTATCAGTCTGCAGATAAACATGTACACAACACCAGTTTTACTTGGCGCCTTCTTGGGAGTTTTAAATATTATTCTAATCCTTGCTATATTAAGGTAATTAGAAAGAAACAAAATTACTTTTGTAAAGTGTGATGTTAAACTAGCATTATAATTTTTGCAAAACAATCACCCCTAGGAAGTCCTTACTTGGTCTATGTAGTTGTGATCAGTTAAAAATTTTATATATGTGATATTTGAAACTAAAATAATAGACAATCTGGTAAACAAGAGCAGATGACTAAAGTTTGTATATTTAAGGTTTAGGTTTTATTGACTATTGGTTTTTAGGTAGGACTCTGGCATGAAAGCAGCATTTTAAAATAGATTAATACATTTTAAATAGTATTAGCTGTAACTGAAATAATTGCATGTACAATAATATACAGTGAACCCTCGTTTATCGCGGTTAATCGGTTCTAGACCCTACCGTGATAAATGAAATTCCGCGAAGTAGGGTTCCTTATTTGTAAATCAAATATTTTCATAGTTAGAGCATAGAGGACATGAAAAAACACCCTTTAGTCACCATTACACTCATATTACCCAATTTA